ATTGCTGTAAAATATTAGATCTCATTGGTCTATAAAAGTTGTCTGCGTCTCTATAAATAACCTTATTATTTTATGATGTCTGAGAGACTTCATTTTCTTTGATAATTCGGACGTTGTCAACATTAGATAGCAATTATTACGTCCTCTGATTATGATTTGCCTCAATTCAGAGTGCTATACTGCCGTACCTAGCTAAAAGGATGTAAAGTGTAGAAATCGTGAGAAATTTGAGTTCACAATTCTGAATTACGAAATAAATAGTATTACTACAACAGAACAAAAGCGAATGAATGTTTCAAAGTTACATAACCTTATAGAGTCATCTAAATGTGATTTTGGATCATACTTGTTGTTGAGCTCTAAAATAAATGACATTCCATCTTTAACTTTAATTGTTGTGAATCAAAATGCAGTCACATGTGATTTATTGCTTTTATACTATTCAATAACAGATTTACTGCCTTTTTTCGTAGTTTTTGTAGTCTATTGATATTATTTTTCCAAAGGAAAAGCGGAGTAATGCAGAATTTTATTTTATATTCATATAATTTATTTGTAATGGTGATATGATTTACATACAGAACACAAAAGTAAACCTTTACAACGCCTAATAGTTCAATTTAATAATAAGATTGCATTCAGTAATTACATTTTATGAAAATAAATAAACTAAAAATAGCATGTCTTATATATGTTAAGTAAAACAAAGACTATTTTTCAAATTTATTTTTTCCGAGCAAAAATAATTATTTATAACAATAAATACTTTATAACAAATAATAGAATTACTACACGAAAAAACTAAATGAGCAACCACCATAAAAGGGTAAAAGGGCAGTACTTGTATCATACATAGAACAAAAGCGGTATAGTTTGAAGATTACTACTTTTTTGCTTTGATAAACTGATTTACTGCTTTTATGCTTAGAAAATGAAGTTAAAATGAAATATTTGACAAATTGAAAAACTAACTAACTATTTATGTTTAATAACGTGATCAATGTAATTGTAATAATAAATGAAATGGATTGGAGTCAAAATTTAAAAAAGGCAATAAATGAACTTTTTCGTAGTACGGCAGTATACATGCAGGTAAAATCAACCAAATAACTTCTTTTCCTTTTTTGATACAGATATAAAGACTCGCTAAACATAGCTTCTTTCATCAAGACCAGACAGTATTTCTATAAATATAATTCCAACGTCTATTTACCACAATCTGACCGTGAATATACAAACTAATCACGTGATCTATCAAATATAATCAGTGATCACTGCGTGAATGAACAAAATATCAATATCAAACACCAATTTAATATCGATTAACCCCGAACCAAGAATTTGTAAATATCAACATTATGTGTATAGACACACTATGTAATCTACCAAACGTTGGTTAATGTCCAATGCGAGACTCAATGTTGGATCAGTAAATGTGCAGTTAATTAGGTTAATGTACCTATATTTAATAGAAATGCAGTTTCGTAAACATTTTAATTGTGGCAAAGTCGAAACTATATTTGTCAAGAATAGATTGAACGAATCTGAAAACCTCAAATCATTATTAGGTTCATAGGTACACAAGAAGTAAGAGGGACTAAGATCTCTTTCGCCAAGAGAGTTTTCACTGAGAAGCCAAAAAATAGAGTAACCATATGAAGTGAAATACAATCACCCAGGACTTTACAGTATGAGATTTCACTTTCTTTTTAGATACCTGCATATGGCGTGATGTGAAATATGTTTATTTGAGTCATATCAGATGACAAGTTGTCTATCTTTTTTTTAAAAAAAATGGGATTGATTCGTGGCAAATAAGTACGTACAGAAGATTTGGAATTAGTGTCAACATAACAGGCCATCGCTGGGTCATATGATTTTTCGTTGAGTAAAATATTTTTGTATAAAGCACATTGTGATCTAGACTAAGTTAGTTTTTACATGGTTATAATTTATTACATTATTTAAATAAAATAGTATTACTAGAAACTTTGATATGTTTTTCCCTGAACATATATTTACCTACGCAATGAAGGCTGAGCTTATATTACACTGGACAACAAATTTTAGTTTTTTAATTGTATCTTGTGCGAAAAGTGCACTTCTTTGTTAATTTTGGGGCGCTGAATCCAAAAATGACAATGAAATAAAAAAATTAGTTGCGGTTTAGAAAAAAAACTTTTTATTTTTAAGGATATATTAAAAAAGTAACAAGATTCATATACTTATAAGAATCACTATATGCGCTGTATTTTTCTGTTCTTTTATGGATCGTTTCTGGAGCATCTCTACCAAGAGTCCAACAGTAGTCTGCAAGCATGGAAGGATTCCACTTTCCCTGGTACCTTTTTTCCATTGTTGAGATATCCTGTTGAAAACGATGAGCACGGCGAACTTACGGCTCCGCAAAAGTCCAGGTGTGAGTGTAGGAAATGTATCTTAAGAGACATATTACAGCCCATCTTTTGATACGATGACAGCGTATTTTTGACAAGGGTTTTATAGTTGTCAGCTTTTCTATTTCCCAAGAAATTAGTGACCACCAGACGGAAATCATTCCAAGCAGTTTTTTCAATACCTGTTAAAGTGTTTTCAAACTGTGTATCTTTCAAAATATTACGAATCTGTGGCCCAACAAAAATACTTTCTTTAACCTTTGCCTCACGTAGTCTTTTAAATTTCTGACGCAGGTATTGAAAAGCTGACCCATCTCTATCTAATGCCCTGACAAAGTTTTTCATTAGGCCCAACTTGATATGCAGTGGTGGTAATAAAATTTTTTTGGAATCTACTAATGGCATATGCTGTACATTTTTTTGACCTGGCTCTAGGAATTGACGAACAGGCCAGTTTTGTCTGGTGTAATGAAGTGCCTTTGCCCGACTGTCCCATTCACACAAAAAACAGCAAAACTTTGTGTAGCCTAGCTGCAGCCCAAGAAAAAGTGCAATAACTTTCAAATCGCCACAAATATGCCATTGGTGCTCATCGTATTTTATGCATGTCAATAGGTACTTCATATTGTCATATGATTCTTTCATGTGAACTGCATACCCTACAGGAAGAGATGGTAAATTATTTCCAATATGCAATAACACTGCCTTTAAACTCAATGTTGAACTGTCTATAAACAATCTCCATTCTTCTGGGTTATAGTTTATATTTAAAGCCGCCAGTAAGCCGTTAATGTTACTGCAGAAAACCAAGTTATTCTCCATATTGAAAAATGGTCTTTGTTGCGTTTACGAAAAACACATACCGAAACATCGTCTTCTAACAAGTTCCACTGCTGCAGTCTTGATCCAAGTAACTCTGCCTTACATTTTGGAAGTTCTAAATCTCTTACAAGATCATTTAATTCTGACTGTGTTATTTTGTGCGGTTGGTGGCATGACGTGCTCGGTATAAAATCAGGATCTCTTGACGTTGATGGCATATCTTCTTCCTGACGAATCACTCGATCGCCATGATCTGATTCGTTTTCTGATTCGCAAGTGTAGGATTCTGGGGGTTTTGGAATAGGATTTTCGTCACTGTGAGGCACAGGTCTCATCGCAGATGGTATGTTTGGGTAGTTAATAACCGATTTTTTTTCCTGGACATACCTGTGGCTTGTCCAACACAAGGTACCATGCAAAAGTAACAATCATTAATATGATTTGTAGGCTTTCTCCAAACCATTGGGACAGCAAAGCGCATAGACCGTTTTTTGCCATTTAACCAGCTCCTCAGACTTGAAGCACATGTATTACAGCAGATGTGGGGTGCCCACTGTTTGTCTTGATCACCTAGTTTACAACCGAAATAAAGCTGATATGCCTTTGTTATTAGTGGAGTAATAGACCGTCTCTGAGACGCAAAAGTCACATCACCACACACGTAACAAAACTGATCTGGATTGTTTACACACTTTCGAGACATCTTGCATGAACGCTGTCAGCCAACTGAGGAAAAAATGGCTAATATAAAACAATATAATGTACACGTATGTATAACGTAACACAATCATGCCGATTACATCATCTTTCCTTGCCGAATATAAAAATGTAGCACGTGCATTCTTGTGAATTACAGTATATTAGCACTGCCGCAGCAGGAACACATATAATTACCGTATCTCTAAAGCTTGAACTAATATTGAAAAAATAAGTGTCATTCCCGTTTTAGCACATTAAAAATAGTAATATTTTGTTGATTTTATTTAGGATATTTTTTGGCTGTTGATCAGTGTTATCATTCAATATCAATAAATCATTTTTGTAATATTTCTTGCACTCATTTCGTAAAAAAATTGATCCATTGAGTGTTATTTTGCTGCAGGCTGCAGTCAAATAAAACTATAAGCGCGAAATAATCGCTAATCATAAAATTGGGTAGCAAAAATCTATTATAGCGTAGTTGAGAAGATTGTTTATCCAGTTGGGCATTTCAAAGTGACTATTTTAGTTATTTATTAGTATGAATGAAAAAAGAAGAAAATGTGTTTACTCCCATCGTTGATACCTCAAACAGTGTGGGTACAGTTTCTTCTTTGAACGAGCCAGGTCTCGAAATATTATCCAAATAAAAATCTAATCTGGTAAGTGCACAGTCTGGTGTGCACAATTTTTGGGACTCCTGACTAGAAGGCCAATTTTTAAGAACGAGGGGGAAAAATAACTAACAGAAAGTGAACATGACTCTTTCACTTTTCAATGCTACGTTTTTGAAAAGAGATATCGCTCCCCGTGTCATTATCTTGATGAACAACAGGAACAAATGTCCGTGAATCTCACAATAATAAGACCACGGCTACTTTCTTTTCGGTTATTCTAGTCCCTCGTTTTGAGGAATGGGCCTCCAGACGTGAATTATGGATTCGTTACTATTTGTAATGCTGGTATGCTTCACAATATTAGAAACAAAATCCATACTGAAGATATACCTCGTATCTAAAAATAAGGAGCTCTTTCACGCAAGGTTAAGGTGGGTGATAAAAACACAAATCAGACAAATAGACAATCGCACTTTATTTCAATATAATTTCTGTACAGCTACGAAAAATGTATACAATAATTACAAATATAGATAAAATCCATTCTGAGTTTTGTTTTGTAATAACAATTAGATAATATATCACGTTCTATAAAAACATACAAATATAATAAATTGCTGCATAGACCAGACACATCACTCGTAAATTTTGGCAATTATTGTCAAATATATGTTGAAACAATCGTATTAAAATTAGTAAACCAGGTACAATATACAGGTGCCTTAGATGTTTAGGCACAAGGGGCATTTGCCCAAAGTCTGACTTGAAGGAGAGCTTCCAAATGAGCAAAAAAAACGTGCTGGAGTCTCAAATAGAGCGAATTTGACTATGCGAGGCAACACATGGTGATTTGAAAAACCTGGAAATATTTTTTTGCAAAAAATGAGTGCATTCACAAACTTATCTAAGAAACAATAACACCTCCAACGCTGTCGGAAAGGTTGCTAGATTTTCCATTGGTTATTCTCATACCCCGTTTCGAAGAATAGACTCCCAGATTAAGTGATTCAGCGCAAAATAGCTCAATCGAGTTTGGGGAAGGTTAGAACGTTGATTCATAGCTCAGTCAAACTAGGTGTAAATGTAGACATATGTGAAATGGGTAACCAATTCGAAACTAAAGTACCATATTAATGAAACTTTGAATGACCCATAACGACATCCACCCCTATTAAAATTTGCTATGACCTGAGTTACGTCAGGTGACCTTGACTAGTTAGCAAAGAAGGATGTTTACTAGTACTACCCTCACTTTATTTCAGTTACAAGTAATCCACCAATAAATACATATTAATAATAGTAAAGTACATTGCTGCCTGCATTGTGATAGCCACGGCACCACACACATACATACTTTAAAAGCATTTCAGTTTCAACTTGATGCTGACAACAATACACTCTACCTCAGCTCCACAAAATACAAAAGTGGTATGTGCTGGAGGTCCCGCTATATAGTCCCATCTACTTTTTCTTGCTGAATACGACTCTAAAGTCAGAACTGGGATTCGATTCATATTTCTCTATCTAACTCCAAGTATGAATTCAGATTCGTGCTTAGCGGAAAAAATTGAAACCATATTATGGGACAACAGCACTCACCAATTTTCTTTATTTTGCAGCCTGTGATCAACAAGTATCTTCGGACTGAAATTAAAGGATTTGCGACAGCTGACAGTCACCTATAGTTCAACTACCTGCTCTGTGCATGAACTCTTATATACTATGCACTGCTTTTGAAGCACAGATTTATTGAGGGTAAATAAAACATTATTTTTTATATATTAGATGGAAGGATGGAACGCCGTATTTGGATACTATCATTACAAATTATCCTACAACCATTTCGGAACTTGACTGCAATCGATAACAGCATCCACACGTTTTGCGAAAACTTACGAGTGACATGTCAATTATAGTCACCAATTCATTTTCTTTATAAAAATACTACTTCGTAAAATATATTGACTTCTGTACATACAAAAACAAAATAGAGAGTAATAAAATAAACAAAACACCAACGAGGTCCGTCTTCTTGCTATATTGCTTGGCGTTAACTTCCTGGACAGGCAGACAACTCAAAATGTAGTCCTGGATATCTGGAGTTGTGATTTGAAGGTGCGTTTTGTCGGTAAGAGTTTCATCGCCGCCATCTTGGCTAGACACACACCTAGGTTAGAAGCTTTCTACGGTCGGCAGGCATGCGCAACCTTCGCCAAATATCGTGAAGGTCAAATTTGATATTTGGCAACCCTGGAATGACACGTGGCGCTTGTTGGAACATTTGCTTATTTATTGTATGATTGATAATCGCTCTGGGGGAAATTAGCTGAAATCAACATTATACAGGTATAACTTCTAAGTTTTTAAAACCACAATGCCCAAATGATACAGTCATTAAAAATGGCGATGAAAAATTTGTGTGACTTTAGCCTATATTTAACCTAACAGTAATACCATCAAAGTATCCACAATTCATGTTCATATCTAAACATTTCGGCAGTGTGCTAGACCAATATTTGAGTATGTAATGAAAATTCTGCATAGGATGTCATTAGGAAGTCGAAAGGACGATCTTTCCTTCAAGTAACTACGATACTGCAAGAAGGATTTGAATACGATCCTGGACAATTCTTCAGCTTTGGAGTGTCACACATATAGTACTACGTTTACATCTACTCTATTTTGGTTTTGCAGTGAATGGAATTCAAAAAAGTTCTCGTCCTCATAAACTTCCCGAAACCATGGTATCCATGACTATCAGGAATTTCTTCAAATTAAAATAAATTACCACTTCTACGGGACTCTCAAAAAATAAAGAAAAATATCAGTCACAGATCTGCCAATACATTAATGTATCGTTATGCCTTTCGGCTCTTCATATGTGGACACATTAAAGACGGACGAAACCGGTAAGAATCGAGGAATTAAGAAGAAAAAGAATGCGGTCAAATACCACTTGACTTGCTTTTTGATCGCTTTGACCTGAGGTTTCGAATTTTGCGGTTCATCCCATTGCTTCTGGTTATCGTTATCAGTCAGGGCTTCTGGAACCGTTTCAGCCGTATTTCGTATAGCACTCTTATTCGCAAAGAAATGCTCATTTTCAGCCATTTACAACGTATACATTTTCTAGAGCGATATGTGTGCAACATTAGGTGTTTCCAGAACATAAGGAATACTACTGAGAATATGAAGTTCCTTTGTTGAAAACAAAGTCTGTCTAAAGTTGAAATTGACTGATAAGGATCCAGTAACTTGACAACAGTCCTATGCAGGGTGTCCCAACCGTGGAAGGATGAAGCATTGCTTCTAAGCTAAAACTATTCAAAGAAAACTATTTATGTATTATTATGTACGATATCTGGATGCATATTTCTTGAATATTCACAATTACACAGGGAGCCCGAATTTTGAGCCGCATATCAAGGTTATTTTTTTAAATTCGGATAAACTCTGTTAAAAGAAAAACGAAAAAATGAGTTTTGATAATTAGTTAAGAACATCATAGTTTGATAGCCTGCGTACCTGCTACCTTGATGGTTGAAGTAGTGAATTTTGTGTCAAAAAGATTTTATTTTACTGAACTTAAGCCTAATTCATCATTTTTTTTAATCGTTTAAATCAATACGATGGTCAATAACGCAAAATGTACTTTTTCGTAAAAAAAGTAAATAAAATAAGTTTAATTTCCCACTATCGGATCGTCATTTCAACTACCTTTTTTAATAATAGGTTGTTACTAGCTTCTACGTTATAGCTATATGTTTCAAAAATTCGGATATTTGTCTAATCAAACAAGTCACATCATCAATGGAAACAAAAAGGGACCAAGTAATTAAAATCTTTTATGTTGTAATTCATTATTACAGATTGATATTATAACAAAATTAATTTTTAAAGATGTCTGAAAATGACGCCTATAGGCAAACATAACTAAAATTTAAAATATTCGTACTATTAAAGAAAATCTTCAAAAATGAAACCTTGATGACAAGTGAAGTTTTCGAATCAATGTTTCGTTTCACACTTTCTACTGTATGTTCACTGATGTTTAGAACCCCTTCTCGGTCTCTCTGCTATATGTTATCTACATTCGAAGTCTTCGATTCTGTGTTCAACATCAAACACTTTCTATATATTTGGTTGTATCGTATGCGATACCCTCTAAAATCTAATGGTTCATTAACCAGCAGAATGCCTATCTGAGTTTTATGATCTGTTCTAATATGAGACCAACCTTAACAGGAAATTTATTACACAGGGCCTAAAACATGAGAAAAAGGGGACTTTTTAGCCTCAATAGCTCAAACACAACTATTTATTTAATTGGGAAAAGAAAAAACAATGAAAAAAAAACTATATTCAAAGAATATAGAACAAACAAAACAAAATGAATGGTAACTGCTTAAAAATGATTATTTAACGATTATTTATTTCGTCGCAGATTGGTGTATGGTAAATTGTTGTAGTAGCTACTAGTTTCGGTGACGATCAGTGGACGTTCATCTTTTTTTTTATAGAACGGCTGTGACATTCATCTTCTTTCCCCTGCACGGCAAGTTTTCAATTGGGTATAACTACGGACTGTCACTGTTTTTGCGTTTTTTCGATACCACATGGGATTGTACTGCCTTAAGACTACATGTTGCCAGTTCTAGCTACAAAACATCAAATTTGTGGCATCCATATTTTTTCCAGTGTTCCCTTCATATATAATAATTATTTGAATAGTTTTTGTTTAGGAGCAGCACTCCCTGCCTCGCACGGTTGGGACACCCTGAATGAGTTGTAAACACTATTGACTACTTTGAAATGATATTTTTCTTGCCTGAGAGTTTGCCTGCTATAGAAGTTTATTTCTGTTGTTTTATTGAAATCCTCACCAAACTTAGAAGCAACAATAAACGAGAGACCAAACTGGATCAGAGAGACCTTAACCAAGAATTTGTAGTTGTGGTGTAGTTTTTATTACTCCTAATGTCTAAGCAAATCCTTTCTCAAAGCCGTAGTCATTGGCTGTTACTATATGATACCTCCTGAAATTGACCTGTCATAAGTGGACAGTCACGAGTGAAATTGTGATTTCAGCTAACTTCGAAGTATAACTGAATGTATTTACGAAACCATTATGTTTGTAAAAAACGGAGAGTGACAGCAAAAAAGTAAGGCACTTCGAGACAAACGCCCGATTAATTTTGATTTGGAAGTTATGGGCAAACTTTAATGGGAAAAAGCGAAAAGTTGAAGAAATTAGCGGTGGGTGTGGGAATATATACAACAACTTTTAAAATTACTCTTCTGTATTCATTCGTCACAATGATCAAATTTTTAAGTTTTGTGAATGATGGTGGCTTGGGGGATGTACCGCAAAAAAAATTTGGATCAACACTTACAAATATGTATTTGTCAAGCTATTGAAGGTACAAATTTGAAACTACCGAATTTATATCTTTTGACATGTGATAGACGTATCATAAGAAAATGGGATCCAGAACTACTATAAATATGCTACGAACCAAGTGTTTCAACAGCTATTCAGTGTTTCATCGATAAAATTAACATTAAGGAAACAAACAATGGCCATCACTAAACCCTGTGACCTTCTATGATAAGATGACCACAATTTATTTTTGACCGATAATGAGGTGTGCATAAAGAACGTGAATTTCGAGACAGTATGTTCGAAAACGTGAATATACGAAACTGTCTGATAATAAGGCGGAAAAAATCGTTCCAATGCGAATTTCATGTTGAAAAATTATCTCCTGTGTTTATCATGTCCAAATATTGTTTAGGAACAAACTGATTATGATATTGAAAATGATTAATCTTGGCCGGTTGTGAATTATTCGGATATAGATAGATGATGTTTCATGAACATGGGGAAAAATGTTAAGAGAAGGTTCTACGACGATTTCGGAAAAATAAAATATAATATGGTAGATACATAAAACGACCTTTTTGCTGTCATCTTCTCGGAAAAAAAACTTTATGATATTCAAAAATGCGCATGCTTCGTCGTTACGACGTCAACGGAAGTGAAAGAGGGTCCAGGTTTTGCATTTCTGCCCAAAAGCAAATACAAAACAATGCTACATTTTTTTGCAAAAGCATGTAAGAAAATGAAGCTATAAAATATATAATTGAGTATACTTAACTAATGATATAAATTCCTTCACCTAAAGTTTAAGACTCTCCAAGCCTTTTTGTTTGCTATTTATACTGGGCTTACATCTACATGCCTCAAGTAGCTTCATTTATGTACGAGTATAAAATTTCCTAATATTTTTCAGTGATGTCTGAAGACTACATCTATAACTTCATTTTCTTAGGGTATGTTAAATGACAGCTATGCCCTATACTAACGGAAACCTGGTTATCACCTTAGGAACAAACCAATACAGCTTACTGTTGCCTAATTATACCAAATAATAAATACGTAAGATAACAACACCATGGTTTATTATTTTAAACGATAAATCACAATCAAATGCAAAGTGTCAAGCTCATTACATAGTGCACAAAACCGTCTATAAGTTTCAATCTAGTCATTTAAACGTGTTACTTACGTTTATCAATCACATGCACGTATACGAGGGGTCCTCCAAAAGTACTATCCCTACGCTAACATTAAGGTTTAGTGCGCTGGTTAAGTGAGTCAAGGCACTTTAGCTACGTAACTCCAAGGTTCATAAAATTGCCATAGTAACGAGCTCAGAAATGCAGAAGTACATTCTATTCATGGCTCATCCTATTACAACCTGTCAGTACATACAAATTCCTATACCGTGTGTTTGCAATTCAAGTCTCACCACTGGAATCTCGGAAACGGTTAGGAGTACGAAGTCGCTTAAATGGCACTTAGGAAGTTTCGCAATTCCGAGTATTTCTGAATAGAGACGAAAAGAACTGAATTTTTCAAAAATCGTTTTAATTTTTTCCAAACATTATTAGAGAGAGGATTTCACAATAAAAAGCATATGAAAGATGAAATGATTATAATTTCAAATGACGTTTTATCTCTTCTTTTCAATCATCAACATTGTTTTTCTTATAGACCTCATATTGGATTCCAGCACATGTAATTAGAGTTTTCAATTTTGATTCCAAACATGTATGTTTAATACATTATATATTGAGTTGGCCAAATCTTAGTTATTTCAAAACTAAAAGCTTGTAAAAGCAGAATTTCTTAAGTAGGCTTATAAATTATCAGATAGTCATTTATTTCATATTCTCAGCCAGCCATTGTTTCAGTTTTTATTAACGAAGCACAGGTGAACAGTTTCTATTTCTGATTTAATGATGTGATATTGTACAAATCATGACGCGGATTGAAACTATAAAACTTCAAATGTCTCAAAAACCGATAACCCTTTAATTGGTCTTAGTCGAATAAGGAACAACATAATGCTACTTTATCATATAATTTGGGGGTAGCTTTGAAAACGTAGGAGAACAATACATCTTTATGTATTTCATATCGCCTTATATCTTGCATTCAAATACTGTTAATCTACGACTGACGTGAGATGTACAAAGCCTCCATCGTGTTGAAATAACGCTATATACAGGGTATCCCGAAAAAAGTGTGCAATATTCTACCAGCGGTTTATAGAGCTTAAAATGGGAAGAAAAGTTTATATAAACATAGGTCGAAAAACGTCCCCTAAAGGCGCTACGGTCTTTTGAAGGGGCTCCCCTGAAGATAATTTTTCCTTTTTCTTTTTTTTAATATTCCAAGTACCACGAAGGCCTAAGGCCTAAATACCCATTGGGTACCGTGGGGCTATGGGGGATACATGGGAAAGGGGGGACGCCACACGGACTCTGTCGAGGGAACACGTGTGCATGCAACATGCACACATTCTGGCTCCGCCTACGAGATCTGCCGGGTGGTACCTCCACGTTCGACAGTCAGAGACCGTCTACCACCTACGGACAATCACAACATCCATAGCCAAGAGAAAAATTTCTCCTGGGACGGGACTCGAACCCGCACAGCGCACGGCGACTGATCAGGAGACCGAAGAGTCTACTACCGCGGCCACGGTTGCTGCATATACGTCTCTTATGGCTGCCAATGAACTGCCATTGCAAAACCCGCAGACAAAATGCATGTCAGTCAGTTCTCTGTCTGTAAATCTTGGCATTTTAAATCGATTTAATAAAAATTTTGATTTGAATCTAGTAATTTTACACTGCTAACAATGTCAGCTTAACGTCAAAATAAGTCATAACAAATCAAAACAACTTTTGTTTGCAGTCATGGCTAACTATGTATAATCAACAATTCATTTAAATTCGCAGTACATTTACTATCATGTGACAAATTCTTTAGTTTGATTTTATTCAAAAATGGCACAATTTATCGATATTCAATAAGAGTACCTTTTTATGTAGAAAACCGTAAATTTTCAAAATGTAAAATTGAATTTCAAAAATAGAATCACACAAAAATTTTGAGGGTCAAATAACTTGAGGCCGTCCCTGTTACATATGCTTCCAAACAAAACTGTTTAAAATTGTTAATATTTTTAAATCCAGCATACAAAACTAGGCTAGAATACCAAATTTTATGTCTTTAACTCAACACGTTTCGGGAATATTAAGGAAAAACCATCTTCAGGGGAGCCCTTGTAAAAGACCGTAGCGCCCTTAGGGGACGTTTGTCGACCTATGTTCATATAAACTTGTCTTCCTATTTTAAGCTCTAGAAACCGCTGGTAGAATATTGCACACTTTTTTCGGGACACCCTGTATAGAGGAAAGGAAGCAAATTTAAGACAAGCGCCTAATTTGAGACAGTGGTGTAACTTTGTATCTTTGTAGCACCATCTTCTACTAATACCAAAAAGTTGTGAACTAAGACGCAGTAGTATTCTATATGTGTTTACAGTTTAGTTTTGCACATGGTTTGCTGAGACATCACAACTTGTTACTTGTTCAGAGTTAAAAATATTTCTAATAGTGCGAGAAAAAAAAAGGTAAGTTACTTAGAACAATTGTCTGGTACAAATTTAGTAGTTTACTAATACCTTATATATTTTCTGTTACAATATTGTGATTTTATTAGATGCCTAACCTAAATAAGCTTGTCTGAACTTTTTAACGGAAAATTCCTAATTTGAGATACCCAAGTGTTCCTTATTTGAGACTATCTCAAGAGATTCATATTTAATTCTTTTATTATTTTTATAATGCAAATGCCACCGAAATACAAAAAGTGGAACCCAAATGACATGATAAAGTCCGTCAATGCTGTAAAGAATAAGGAGATGGGTTATTTAAAAGCCTCAAAAGGATTCGGATACATTCCTCCTCCAGTTCAAGTTCAGAATGGAAAGCCTTAAGTTGGATGATTCATCTTCAGACGAAAACGTGAATAGTATCTCAAATTAGCGTACCTATTGTATTTTTTTATTTTAGAATATGCTACGAGCATCAAATCGCAAGTTTATTTAAAAATATACGCTCGTTTAAAACAAAAATACTTTATTTTGCCTTTACAAAAAAGTATCTCAATTTTGATTCCCCCCTCTACGTTTTATTCGATGAATGAGCAAATTATCTGAATGTCCTTCAAACACAATACAGATAAAACGGAAGCACTCATTGGTGATTTAATCAGATAAACATCATTTGTCATTTTCAAGTTCAACAAAACTCAGGTTTGGCAATAGCAATGTGTGACATATTACAAATTTTTGGAAGGAGAATGAAAATTTGATTCGTTTGTGCAAAAATACAATTTGGAGTCCACAAGAAAAAATAATGTTGAGATTGATGACAAGAGACGAAACGCCATATAGAAATTCTAATTATATTATCTTGTAGAGGAATAAAGTGGTGGTGTTATTCTGAGTTTTATACTGAATTCCCATCACAAATAAAATCAGGAAAAAATAAAAAATTCCGTTTTTCCAGTCTCTCTCCGGAAAGACTCGGAATTACGAAACTTTCTACACGTTACCCTAATGCGCAACTTTCCTCTCACTTAGTCGACTTCGAATCTCTTACCATTTCTGAGATCCCAACGGTAAAAATCAAATTTGAAACACCCGGTACATTTTTGACGAGAAAATGTCTTCTTTTATGTAGTTTAGTGGTACCAAGCAACTCGTAACTTATTTTTTACCTCAGATACAATATTTTAAGAATTTTTATGACCGTATTCGCATTCAGTGCCACAAATTATCCAAATTATACCAATTTTCATTCTCATGTAGCAACGGAAAATGGTAATTTTGCAATTCCTTTAAGCTTTTGAGACTATTTATCAGAAAATTCTATTCACTAAGTTTATTACACAGATCCCTCGTAAACATGCATGTATTCTACTGATCTCCACATATTTCATGGTTATAAAAAATACAAACAATAAGAACAAATATGAGGAGAACAAGCGTATAAGCGAAGCACGTGGGAGTCTACATGTGCGGAGATAGTTTTAAAAATGATTTTTATTATAACCTGAGATAACTTGAAGTACCATGCTTAATTTTATTAGCTCTTCAATAATGACATTTATATTCAAAATTATAGGCACTTGCATCGTTTGTATCTATAGCCTGTAATTTATGAAAATTCAGAGACACGGTCACGGTCATATGATTTACGTTACTGTATTGAATAGGCTAAAGGTCCGACCGTTTTGAAACTCTTAATCGAAGTTGTAAACTGGTTTTGAAGTTTTATGTTAGATAGAGAAAATAAAATCAGACGTATAAGCTATAATTTAAAACTATGAAGAGCGTACTTAGTCCTGGTTTAACCGTTAACATGCAAGCTTTCGCAGAATATACAGGCAGTTAGGGAGCGTTGGATATTATATGCGAGAAATAAGCTGAAACTGTTGCTAATTTGTGAATGAAGAACGGATTATATGTTTATGGTTATAAGTTAGAAAGTAGTATTTCTACCTACGAGCGTTTCTAATCTAAACAACTAGTTAGTGATAGCGACTAAAGGTACGCGTCCGTAGTTTCATTCTAAACGGATTACTTTCTGGCATGAATCCAGTGAATTTGCAGCAAATGGATTGCCGACCTGGTGGATGTTTGAATGAGGGTCACCTTTTTGAGTAATAACCGTATTGTAATGGAGTCAGAGAAGCTATTTATGAATGTAAATTGTATCACAAGTCGTGGTGCCAGCTCATACCTCAAAGAACGCTGCCTTCTGGTTTCTGAACTGTCCAAGTTTAGTAGAACTCCCCAGGTAGGTTGTTACACAATCTCGATAGCCTAGGGTCAAAGGACCTATCTGACCGGCGCATCACGCGGCGGCATAATGTAGGAGAGCTCCGAGAAGCAAGGCTCGTCGACATAGCAGTAAAAGAGATTAGAACTGCCCTTCGGTGCGAAGGGGCCCGTTAGAGAACAATCATCGATCAATTAGACAGGCCTCCTCTAAACAGCATGGATAATGTAGTCGGGGCTGCAACACCCCAAACATGTTAGCAGTACTCAAGACTAAATTTAAGCCTTGTGCAGAGTGAGGAGGTTATGTGGAAAGAATTACTTCTTAGTCCCAAGCCATATAATCCGTGTAGGCTCTAGTTCCGTGCGGTCAGTCGAAAACATTGCTGATGTTACCTGGAATTTGCGTGATCTTCAATCAACATCAACTCGACATCGCTCTCGGCAAGCGACATTTATCAATTTGACCATAAGGACTTTCGGTATCAAGACTTACAAGGTTCAATTAGTCCAAGTACTAGAGCCTCATGACCACTGGATGCGTTTTCTGTTCATCTAGTGGGCACCACGGAGGCAATAATTATTGAACAAGGCTGCCGCATATGGGATCAGATAATCCGCACATCGTAAAGGAGAATCTAATGGATCTGCAATGAGTGACTGGAACGTTTTTTTGGTCTGCTGGTCTGGGCCATTTTTCTTTGAAAATGGGCAAGGAGGTACTACCCCAGTCAACGGCAAGCATTACCATGTCATGCTCAACAAACTTTTGCTTTAAGAAGTTGAGAAGAATGATATGACATTTCACTTCAACAAGACGGCACACATGCCATGTAGGCAACTCAACTATCGAAATTTTTGGTCACCGTTTTCGAAAGCCGAAGGATCAGCCCAAATTCTGATGGCATGCGAAGCTGCGATTTGAACCCGTTGGACTATTTTTTGTGAGAAGCCTTTAAGTATAAGTGTTATGATAACCATCCAGAGGCAATTAAGACCTTGAGGCCGAAAAAGTACTTGAACATTTTGTTAGTCGGATGAGATACTGTCGGGCCAGACGTTGAAGTCATTTAAATGATATTGTGTTTCATTCTTAAATTTCAGCGTTCAACATTTCCAATTAAACCAGAAATTTGAAAAAGTATTCATTTCGTTTATTTCTTATAGTCAATCCAAATTCCATTTTTAATGGCACATATTTCAGTTTTCCGCCCTTTCAGAATCCTATAGTGCAATGCGTGGCGTGCATCCGACGCGGATAAGTAGACTCACTTTTATTTGTTAAAATGCAAAGAATCCTACAATCTGTTTAGCGTGAACTGGCCAATACGTGAAATATGGACCCGTAGACGCGTACCTTTATCTAGAATTCCAATTTTGGATGTAAAGACCAGGCTATTTCACCATATTGTGGGTAGGTATGAAGTCATGTCATCACGTTTCTCTGGCAATACTGCACGTCCTCGGAGGATATCATGTTTCTAGAGGCGGAAGCACAATATTGGCAAGCAAAAATCAAAATTTAATATAACGTATACATAAGTTGACGAGCTTACGCAAACACCATGAATTCACTTGACGTGACAATGTGTTATCGCCCCAAGAAACATGGCTTGTCTTTACTTCCTTTGTTATCAATTACCGTTCCCACATAAAAACCCAATCAACACTTACTAGTAAAAGCTGGCTGTATTGCCCCAGTCCAGACCAGTCGTGATAGGTGTCGTGGAGGTATGGTTGATGACAGGTAGGCACTGAAAGCAGTATTTCTGCCGTTGTTATTGTCCCAATACTGGCACCCTTTACACTGGAACCGACATGCCAGCTCCAACCTTTGCCCTACAGACAGCGAGTGTGCGTAGATCACAAATGAGAATTTATCTGAGAACCCGTCGCAGGAGTTCGCTACGTAGGTTGCCTGTACGTCAGCATACGACTTCCAGGAGTTCAAGGTGTATCTGCAACAAGATAAGAAACTGTTAGAATACATAAAATTCTCATAATAATCAAAACTCTTAAAATCCTCCAAATTCTCTGAATTCGCTAAATTCTCTAAATTCTCTAACTCTAAATTCTCTAAATTCTCTAAATTCTCTAAATTCTCTAAATTCTCTAAATTCTCTAAATTCTCTAAATTCTCTAAATTCTCTAAATTCTCTAAAATTCTCTAAATTCTCTAAATTATCTAAATTCTCTAAATTCTCTAAATTCTCTAAATTCTCTAAATTCTCTAAATTCTCTAAATTCTCTAAATTCTCTAAATCTCTAAATTCTCTAAATTCTCTAAATTCTCTAAATTCTCTAATTCTCTAAATTCGCTAAATTCTCTAAATCTCTAAATTCTCTAATCTCTAATTTCTCTAAATTCTCTAAATTCTCTAAATTCTCTAAATTCTCTAATTCTCTAAATTCTCTAATTCTCTAAATTCCTCTAATTCTCTAAATTCTCTAAATTTCTAAATTTTCTAAATTTTCTAAATTTCTCTAAATTCTCTAAATTCTCTCAATTCTCTAAATTCTCTAAATTCTCTAAATTCTCTAAATTCTCTAAATTCTCTAAATTCTCTAAATTCTCTGAATTCTCTGAATTCTCTAAATTCCTGAATTCTCTGAATGCTCTGAATTCTCTGAATTCTCTGAATTCTCTGAATTCTCTGAATTCTGAATTCTCGAATCTCTGAATTCTCTGAATCTTGAATTCTCTGAAATTCTCTGAATTCTCTGAATTCTCTGAATTCTCTGATTCTCTGAATTCTCTGAATCTCTGAATTCTCTGAATTCTCTGAATTCTCTGAATTCTCTGAATTCTCTGAATTCTCTGAATTCTCTAAATCTCTAACTTCTCTAACTCTCTTCTCTAACTTCTCTAACTTCTCTAACTCGCTAACTTCTCTAACTTCTCTAACTTCTCTAACTTCTCTAACTCTCTAACTTCTCTAACTTCTCTAACTTCTCTAACTCTCTAACTTCTCTAACTCTCTAACTTCTCTAACTTCTCTAAATTCTCTAAATTCTCTAAATTCTCTAAATTCTCTAAATTCTCTAAATTCTCTAAAGCTCTAAATTCTCTAAATTCTCTAAATTCTCTAAATTCTCTAAATTCTCAAATTCTCTAAATTCTCTAAATTCTCTAATTCTCTAAATTCTCTAAATTCTCTAAATTCTCTAAATTCTCTAAATTCTCTAAATTCTCTAAATTCTCTAAATTCTCTAAATTCTCTAAATCTCTAAATTCTCTAAATTCTCTAAATTCTCTAAATTCTCTAAATTCTCTAAATTCTCTAAATTCTCTAAATCTCTAAATTCTCTAAATTCTCTAAATTCTCTAAATTCCTAAATTCTCTAATTCTCTAAATTCTCTAAATTCCTAAATTCTCTAATTCTCTAAATTCTCTAAATTCTCTAAATTCTCTAAATTCTCTAAATTTCTAAATTTTCTAAATCTCTAAATTCTCTAAATGCTCTAAATTCTCTAAATTCTCGAAATTCTCTAAATTCTCTAAATTCTCTAAATTCTCAAATTCCTCTAATTCTCTAAATTCTCTGAATTCTCTAAATTCTCTGAATGCTCTGAATTCTCTGAATTCTCTGAATTCTCTGATTCTCTGAATTCTCTGAATTCTCTGAATTCTCTGAATGCTCTGATTCTGAATCTCGAATTCTGAATTCCTCTGAATTCTCTGAATCTCTGAATTCTCTGAATTCTCTGAATTCTCTGAATTCTCTGAATTCTCTGAATTCTCTGAATCTCTGAATTCGCTGAATTCTCTGAATTCTCTGAATTCTCTGAATTCTCTGAATTCTCTGAATTCTCTGAATTCTCGAATCTCTGAATTCTCTGAATTCTCTGAAATTCTCTAATTTCTCTAACGTCTCTAACTTCTCTAACTTCTCTAACTTCTCTAACTTCTCTAACTCCTCTAACTTCTCTAACTCTCTAACTTCTCTAACTTCTCTAACGTCTCTAACTTCTCTAACTTCCTAACTTCTAACTTCTCTAACTTCTCTAACTTCTCTAACGTCTCTAACTTCTCTAAATTCTCTAAATTCTCTAAATTCTCTAAAATCTCTAAATCTCTAAATTCTCTAAATTCTCTAAATTCTCTAAATTCTCTAAATTCCTAAATTCTCTAAATTCTCTAAATTCTAAATTCCTAAATTCTCTAAATTCTCTAAATTCTCTAAATTCGCCTCCTCTAAATTCTCTAAATTCTCTAAATTCTCTAAATTCTAAAATCTCTAAATTCTCTAAATCTTCTAAATTCTCTAAATTCTCTAAATTCTCTAAATTCTCTAAATTCTCTAAATTCTCTAAATTCTCTAAATTCTCTAAATTCTCTAAATTCTCTAAATTCTCTAAATTCTAAATTCTCTAAATTCTCTAAATCTCTAAATTCTCTAAATTTTCTAAATGTTCTAAATTTCTAAATTCTCTAAATTCTCTAAATTCCTCTAAATTCTCTAAATTCTCTAAATTCTCTAAATTCTCTAAATTCTCTAAATTCTCTAAATTCTCTAAATCTCTAAATTCTCTAATTCTCTAAATTCTCTAAATTCTCTAAATTCTCTGAATTCTCTGAATTCTCTGAATTCTCTGAATTCTCTGAATTCTCTGAATCGCTGAACTCTCTGAATTCTCTGAATTCTCTCTGAATTCTCTGAATTCTCTGAATTCTCTGAATTCTCTGAATTCTCTGAATCCCTCTGAATTATCTCTGAATTCTCTGAATTCTCTGAATTCTCTGAATTCTCTGAATTCTCTGAATTCTCTGAATTCTCTGAATTCTCTGAATTCTCTGAATTCTCTGAATTCTCTGAATTCTCTGAATTCTCTAAATTCTCTAACTTCTCTACTCTCTAACTTCTCTAACTTCTCTAACTTCTCTAACTCTCTAACTTCTCTAACTTCTCTAACTTCTCTAAACTTCTCTAACGTCTCTAACGTCTCTACTTCTCTAATTCTCTAAATTCTCTCTAAATTCTCTAAATTCTCTAAATTCTGCTCTAAATTCTCTAAATTCTCTAAATCTCTAAATTCTCTAATTATCTAAATTCTCTAAATTCTCTAAATTCTCTAAAGTCTCTAAATTCTCTAATTCTCTAAATTCTCTAATTCTCTAAATTCTCTAAATTCTCTAAATTCTCTAAATTCTCGAAATTCCTAAATTCTCTAAATTTCTAATTCTCTAAATTCTCTAAATTCTCTAAATTCTCTAAATGCTCTAAATTCTCTAAAGTCTCTAAATGCTCTAAATCTCGAAATTCTCTAAATTCTAAATTCTCTAAATTCTCAAATTCTCTAAATTCTCTAATTCTCTAAATTCGCTAAATTCTCAAATTCTCTAAATTCTCTAAATTCTCTAAATTCTCTAAATTCTCTAAATTTTCTAAATTTTCTAAATTTTCTAAATTCTCTAAATTCTCTAAATTCTCTAAATTCTCTAAATTCTCTAAATTCTCTAAATTCTCTAATTCTCGAAATTCTCTAAATTCCTAAATTCTCTAAATTCGCTAAATTCTCTAATTCTCTAAATTCGAAATTCCTAAATTCTCGGAATTCTCTGAATTCTCTGAATTCTCTGATTCTCTGAATTCTCTGAATTCTCTGATTCCCTGAATTCTCTGAATTCTCGAATTCTGAATTCTCTGAATTCTCGAATTCTCTGAATTCTCTGAATCTCTGAATTCTCCTGAATTCTCTGAATTCTCTGAATTCTCTGAATTCTGAATTCTCTGAATTCTCTGAATTCTCTGAATTCCTCTGAATTCTCTGAATCTCTGATTCTCTGAATTCTCTGAATTCTCTAATTCTCTAAATTCTCTAACTTCTCTAACTTCTCTAACGTCTCTAACTTCTCTAACTTCTCTAACTCTCTAACTTCTCTAACTTCTCTAACGTCGCAACTTCTAACTTCTCTAACCTCTAACTTCTCTAACTTCTCTAACTTCTCTAAATTCTCTAAATTCTCTAAAGTCTCTAAATTCTCTAAATTCTCTAAATTCTCTAAATTCTCTAAATTCTCTAAATTCGCTAAATTCTCTAAATTCTCTAAATTCTCTAAATTCTCTAAATTCTCTAAATCTCTAACTTCTCTAACTTCTCTAACTTCTCTAACTTCTCTAACTTCTCTAACTTCTCGCTCTCTAACTTCGAACTTCTCTAACTTCTCTAACTTCCTCTAACTTCCTAACTTCTCTAACTTCTCTAACTTCCTCTAACTTCTCTACTCTAACTTCTCTAAATTCTTCTAAATTCTCTAAATTCTCTAAATTCTCTAAATTCTCTAAATTCTCTAAATTCTCTAAATTCCTAAATTCTCTAAATTCTCTAAATTCTCTAAATTCTCTAAATTCTCTAAATTCTCTAAATCTCTAAATTCTCTAAATTCTCTAAATTCTCTAAATTTCTCTAAATTCTCTAAATTCTCAAATTCTCTAAATTCTCTAAATTCTCTAAATTCACTAAATTCTAAATTGAAATTCTCTAAATTCTCTAATTCTCGTAAATTCTCTAAATTCTCTAAATTCCTAAATTCTCTAAAT